GTTATATTCCTCCATGAAATCTCGCCATGCCATAACCTATTAATAATATTACCATGGACTTCCTTAAATAAACTAATCACCATTGTAATATCTTTTGACAAAACCTAATATTTTAAAACTTCATAGTCCCCTTTAACACTTAAAAAGCCGTATTATTTTTTTAAAAGCAGGTAATTGGCAGCAAGATATCTTTAAACATTTTAATAACATGATTCCATCCCCTAAAGTTATACTGATCTTAGTACAGAAATATGGCTTACTGTAATATTATAAACCTTTCCACAAATATTCATTGAAATTCGGTCTGCTGTAAATCTCTCAAATCTCTCAAAAATCTTTCAAAATCTACCCAGCATCATCGGTATTCTACTAATACCCTTAAAACCTTTCTTTCACAATCATTTTTCGCCATCATTAATTAGTGTTGGAATCTCAAATCTCTTTCTACACCTTTCAAACCTTGTTTCCCTTTTTCTAACAGCATTACCATTTGTGATTAGGACCACTCTCCGGGTTTACCGCAGCAGATAACCTTTACACCAGGAGCAGAACCCTAGCTTCAGCGCTCCAAAATGAGAGAAGTATTCTACTGAGCCATTTTTTCCCTGTATGTTTGTTTCCTTAACGCTCTTTCAAATCTCCCAAACCAATTTTACCAAGATCTCAACTATAAATTATAAAATTACAAAAGATATGCACCACTATGCTCAAAGTATCGAAAAAAAAAATGGTAAAGAAAGATTTAAGGGATTTTGCAGTAGTTTAACTCATTCGTCGGTTTTCAAGTGCGTCAACATTTGAATAATTTGAATGTATATATAAGTGTTGGAAAAAAACTCATTTTTCCTTTACACCAAAATTATTTCCAGCAAATGGCACTTCTGTCCAGCTAAGCTTGATTATTTTGTTTTTAAATCCACTCCACGCCAAGGTTCCTTCAATCCACAAATAATTTACCACCACTTCTCTAACGATTTTCTTCGGAAATCCACTTCAGGAAAAAGAGTGGTTCTTGTGCAGATTTCGAATCTTCTTTCAGACAAGAGTAAATCTATTTCTAAAAAATCCGGCAGTGCTAGGGATTCATTCTATTGATTGATTCCTTAGCAAAAATTTCTTATCACATCAACAGTGAAGTTAGGAATACTAACCACCTATTTAATTTTGTTTTAATTTGTAAAAAAATTTGGGTAGTGGTCGCGATTCATCTATACTTTATAACCAAGCGATTTCCCGGCGAAAAGTTTCTTAACAATCAATTAACAATTAACAATCAATGAACAATATTATTGTAATATTTAGTAAATTTATTTATTAAATTTATTTATTTATTTATTTATTAAAATTAATTATTACTAAATTTATTAAAATAAAATCGAATTATTAAAAATTGAGATGGAAATTGGTGAAATTAAAACCGTTGAAGCAAAAAAAAGTTACCTGAATTACATTATACAAGAGAAAAAACTAATATAATTATTGAATTGAATATAATAAAATAATTGGTTAAACCAATTCCTTTCCCTGAAAAAAATTTAAAAGTAAATAATACATTGGAAAAAAAATTAAAAATAATAATAATTAAAATCAGTAAGTTTACCTACGAAGACCAAGAAAAAAATAAAAGTTTTCGTTTTATTTGTAAAACCTCAGAAATTTTATAGGAAATACGTTCAATGCAATGAGTATTTTGCTCTCAGCGCCAGTGCTAGCGTTCAACTCTCTTCAAGCAGAAAACAAACTCTCATCGAGCCTGTTTTCCAAGAAATCCGGGTTATACTGGCGATTCGTCCGCATTTATATGGCCAAGACGTCTAACTCGTCGGCAGTAATTTCGTGCGCGGATAAGCCAGCGGAGCGAGTTTGACGGGAAACTTAGAAGTGTAAATATAAATATTATCGAAATTCTACTAGAAAAGTTATCAGAAATTCGCATAAAATTGATAAAATAAAAAAACTAAAGCCTTAAATATGTAAAAATAAGGCCAACAATTCGCAATTTAAAATAAAATAAAAAAGAAATTTTTAAATATTTTAAAATCACTAAATATCAGCCCAGATTCGCAAACTGCAAATTAGATGAAGAAAATGGCCACCAATGCTGTAGTGCCATTTTGGTATGTGCAGTGTGGTACTTAGGTCATTTTCCGGGTCGTTCGTGGTGAATGCATTATTGTGGCATGGAAATGGCTATCAATATTTAACGAGGATTGATATTGCAAAAATTAACTTATTTCAATAATTTGTGTTACGAATAGAAATTGTAGCGCACTTTTTAAAATCAACTTTTATAAAGTATGTTCAGTCCTTTATGTCTGTGGTACCATCCAATGCAGTGTTAATCAACAGAATCAAATAAATATATCTTGCAAGAACAAAGCAAATCCAAATCAAACTGTTGTTTTTTTGTACAATAATCATATTGCTGAAATTCGAATGAGTGGTGTCCGTTGCTGGGTTGGAGTCGGCTACGATGGCTTCAAGGGTAACGCATTTCCAGACCGCTTAATCTGATGGCTTATCGTAGAAGAAAGAAAGAAAAAGAAGGAGGCTCCGTTGTCTTAGCCCAATTATCGTTGGGATGCTCAAAATCTCTTTATTTTATTAATCCAGGTTGTTTCTCTATCCATCACTCTTCATTAGTGAAATATTTGTCAGTTCATGTGGAAAATGGCAAAAAACATGGCCCTAATCAACGTAGTGGGTGATATTTGAGTAAAGATAAATATAATTATGGGATTTTATCCGCTCGGCGAATATGTGCCTTAGGCGTGGTGATCATAGATAGACTGTGAGCTTCAACATCTTCCACTCTTATTTAATGTTTATGTCCAGAATCGACTTATCAGACTTATCAGCATGGTAAAGATAAATTTATTTTGTTGATTTACAGATCGGTTAAAATACTATATTTATCAAAAATTTTGAAAAATTTTAACTAAAAATTTTCGCTTTTGACGCCAACCGTCACACAGCTTAGCAAATAACGAAATATGCATCAGCTCCTGTGGTGGACGACGGAGAATGTGCCCTAACCAGCGAAGGCGGCGCTCTGTGATAACATTATTTATGCAATTGTGATATCCGCTCGACGGATCCGTAATATGTACCTAAGAGTGGTCAAAGGCAGATAACTTCTTAATATCCTCCACTCTCATTGGCCATCTCTCAGAACCATATACTAAGATCGAACGGATCACGGCAATATAGATGCCTTCGTTTTTATGGTGATTTCACGACGATTCCATAAAGGTTTCATCAACCGGAAGAACGCATTTTTAGCTGCCGTGATCCGAGCCATAATATTATCTTTTGCGTGTCCATTTGGTATTAGAATAGACCCAAGGTATTTGAAATCGGGCACTTCCTCAACCGGCAATGAATTTATAAAAAGAGACATTTTATCAGCTTCTTGCACATAAGGCGAAAAGACTTTCGTTTTATTTACATCCTGAGTCCGATTCTTGCTGATACGTTTCTGATACGTTATTTAGTATTACTTGCATTTCGTTATAACTGTCAGCAAAAAGGACTACATCATCAGCGTATTCAAGATCTGTGATATGATGCTCTGGACTAATTCGGAAACCTCTTGAGTGCCGACAAGTAGTGACCATTATCCGGTCTATCGCATAGTTGAATATTGTGGGGGAAAGGACGCAATACTGACGGATACCTGTTCTTATTTCAATGGAATCTGTCAGCTCCCCATATACACAGACCTGCGCCGACGTGTGGTCATACCTTTATGAATCTAATGATTTTCTCTGGAACACTATCACACCATCAGGTTCCATCACCCTCCAAGGCGCCGCTCTATCAATTGAATCAAAGGCAGCCGAAAACTCGATGAAACACGTGACAGTGCAAATATCTGAAGCGATGTTCCAACACCCTTCTTAACGTAAATATCTGGTTAGCACAATCGCGCCCTGGTCTGAAACCAGCTTGATTAGGGCGCATACTGCTGTTCCGTATTTCCATAAGTCTGTTGAGTATCAGGGAAAAAAATTTTTTGCTGAGACGTCTAACAGGCTGATTCCTCGATAATTGTCGCATTATGTCCTATCACCTTTCTTGAGAATTGAGAGCAAAATTGCTTTGCTCCAATCATCTGGTAATATTTCTTTTTTTTATACTAAAGAATATGTTTGTTGAAGGTGCGTTATGAAGGACGATGGACAGCATTTGAAAAACTGAAGGCCATCTTCTCCTTGAGTGTTATTAGCCTTAAGCTTATGGATAACTGGAATTATTTCTTCTTCTATTGGAGGCTCGCAATTGCGTACGCTTCGGCAAACGTATCAGCTATATCAGAGGCAATAGATGGCAATAGATAGATCATGGTTAAATTTGGCCTCAAAAAATTCTTTCCATCTTATGAGGCGATCCTTAATACTTTTGATTAATACGCCATTGCTGTCTCTTATCATTTCACTGTTCTTTCCCCGAGTCATAGTTGCTTTATGGAGAAGGCAGAATAGCTTCCTATTGTCGCTTAATCGAGCCGCCACATCTATTCTTGAGGCCATGTCACTCCAATAGAAATTTCTGTTCCACCTTGCTGCTTTCGTTATAAATCTTCGAAGCACCTGATAGTCAGAATCACCTGACATTCGTGCTTTGGCAACTTTTCCAGATAATTGGATAATTGCTTCCGATACCCAACTAGCGCTATTATCACTTTTATCACTATTCATCATTGATTATTGCTATAAATATTACTATTTTTTTCCTTTTTTCTGCTAACGACTTTCATCACTGGTTGGGTTGGCTCTATTGGCCATAAGGATAAGGTATTTCATCAGATTTTTTTCGTGTTTTATCATTTAAAAAAAAATTTTGAAGAAAAATCCCAAATAATATTGCGTTGTTATTTTAAAAATATCTTTGATTTAAAAAATCTTCGCGTCGAGACGCAAGCGTTGCAACTTTTCCGCGTCGCAGTTTTCATTCAATTTTGCATTATTTCCGACGCAAAAAAAGTTGTTTTTAAAATTTTGCTATTTATTTTTAATTTTTTTATTTGTCAATCAACGTAAACAAATTCTATTTTATTATTGCTTATTTTCACTAATTCTCTACTTTTCTTCTCTAATTTTCATTAATATTTTGCTTTTCTTTTTTTCTCTCACTTTATTATTTTATTTTCTTCTTTGTTTTAATAATTTCTCGAAAATTGGGGTCAAAAGGTCAAATTTATTTGTGTTAAAACTTTTAGATTTTTATGTTTGCATAGAAATTATGATCGGTAACGAGTTTAGCAAAAGTTGCAAATTTATTTGAAAGTCTAATGAAAGGATCTTTTCTTTTGGTGATTTTGGTGATTTTTGATGGATTTTTAACAATGAAATATGAATAAATACGAAATTTTTGATATATAAATAAGAGGGTATAAGCGATTTTTTAAATTTAATTTTATTTAAGATGTGCTTAATTTATTTCAAGGATCCTTTGAATAGAGATTCATCATTAGTGAGTGATTTATTAGGAAATGATGCATATCGCCGTCTGATGATTGTAAGCAGTGGTTGGAGATCGATGGATCGTCCAAGCATCGGAAATGGTCTGCATCAGGTCAAGAGAGCGATTGAGAGAGAGGTCAAGGGAGAGTGGAGAGTAACTGGTAACTTTTAACTCGTAGACCACCTAACTATGCGTTTATGGAGTGGAAAGAAGGAATGGCTTCTGTCATCTTTGAATATGGCATTGGATCGAAAGGTTTGAAATATATTTCACTCATATTTCTTGTAGCCAGCAGAGTCAGTTTAAATAGAAATTATGTAAGCTATTGGAAACAATTTGTAGAACAACTATTGTAGAATAAGAACAACTATTCTATATAATAATAATTATCTAGTTATTCTTGTATATAATAATATAATTCTTATTTTCGTGTTGCATATCAGTGATATTAGACCAGCTAAAACAGTGATAAATCGCCTGTTAGATATTATTATAAAATGAGTTAACAGCAGATATTAAACGAAATTTAAAAGTCTTTCATCGAATATGATTTTGTTCTTTTGTTAAATTTCCGTGTATTTCCGCTTTTATTCCACACATATTGTATGAGCATTATGAGCTAGTAAAATGATATTTAAAACGTTCTTCAGCGTTGAACAAAAATTGAAAATTGAAAATAAAAATTGAACAAAAATGCTTTCGGATGATTTTGTAAAATTTTCTGACATATTTTTTTCATTCACACTATCATTAATCTTATATTTTTTGAAACAGATTCACTTTCCAGATCGACTTCAGATAGTTCCCTTCTTATTTTCTGTTTCCTCTTAACGATAAATTTTTTTGCCAATTCTTTCCTAGAATTCTAGTGCAGATTTGTTGAAAGCTCAGAATTTTTTTGTCATAATTGTTTTAGATTATTTAAAATATTGAATTTAATGGCCTTATTTTCTTGGCCATTCTTATATGAATATATAGAATTTCGTTTTTTTTTTTTAAATAAATTTCGTTAGCATCTTTAAGTCAACTAGTACTGTGATTTTGCCTAGGAATTAAATTTTTTTATTCAATTTCAGTGGTTACAAGTTTGAAATCTTTGATCTGATTATGGAGTATATACTAAGCTGTTTTTTTGCAATTCATTTCTCTAATTTATCTTGGATTATGGTGCTAAAAACACTTTGAGCTTTAATTCATTGAAGCTGATAGTGTGCTGTCACTTTTAGCATCATATATTTTGGTATTCATTCAAGGATACATACTGAGAAAATTATTGAGCAAATATTAAAAGAATTTCCATGAAATGGCACAATTATCAGTTATCTGTTGGAATGGAAAATAAATTCATTTTAAGCCTTATTTATTCAGTCAGTAATATAATAAGTAATACTTAGCATAATGAATAAAGCTCAAAATGGATTGCCAGTCAAGATTTTCTTCTTTTGGATAATCTTATAACCAGAAATTTGATTTTCTCTAGACGAGTTTAGCGAATTAAATAGCAATTTTCTTTATATCATATTTTGCATATCATATATTTCTTCTGCATATTTCATATTTTATATTCTTTTATTTATTTATTTCAGTTCATTAATCTCGACTAGCCATAATATCTATCGGAAAATCGTTTTATGATGCGTTTATAATACGTTTTATTCGCTTCAGGTAATCTCCTGTTTTGTTTTTGGATGAATTCTGGACTCATTTGCCGATCAGTTATTCATTTATAAATGTCAGTAGACGAGAGTCGTGGCTCAACACCATCAGTTGAAGCAAGTGAATCTCCCTCTCCAGCGCCATCATCATCACAAACTCCTATCTGTTCTTCATTTAGTAATGGGTTAATTTAAATTGCAAATATTTTTTTTGGAAAATTTTTGTTTTATTTATATTAATTTTATCTTTTTGCTTAATACACGATAATCAAACAAACTAATTCAATTCTGGCCCAAAGCATTTTTTTCAATTTTTATAACGACGATTGATAAAGAATTTTATAATGTATGATATTTATTTTTTTACTTTTTTTAGTTTGACAGTCGATTTTTCCCGATTTGATAGTCCTGGACCCCATTCAAAAAACTTGGCTGCTCGTTTACAATTAAATAGGTTGCGGAATGGACAGATTGGTCAGTGATTTTTTTGCACAACTGATTTTATTGATAGTTTAATTCTCATTTAATTGTAGTTCCATTCTCATTTAATTGTAGTTTATGCTAACAAATTATTGGTCCATAATAAATCTTTTTTTTTTAGATGAAAGTCAGTTTATAAAACGTCCACTCAATGCGTACATGATTTGGACTCAAGAAGAACGCAAAAAGATCCTAGCGCAAGATCCAACATTAAAAATGAATGATGTTAGCCGCATGGTGAACATTAAATTTCTAACAATTTAATATCCACTCAGCATTTCCCCCCATTATGAAATGATAGAATTTTATATATATTTATTCCTGTGAATATATTTTCTCAAATTTATAGATGGGTGAAAAATGGAAAATGCTTAGTGAAAAAGAAAAGAAGCCGTTCTTTGAAAAATCCAAGCAAAATAAATTGGAGCACAAAAAAGTAATTATTAATCAACTTTAATCGGTTTTTAAAAAATTCTTTCATCCGATTATTTATTTTTCTATTTTAGGTGCTAAAAGATAATCCAAACCTATTTTATCATCCTCAACGAAAGAAAATGTTGAAAGCGTTAGCTGCTAAAAATGAACTAAATCAAATGAATGATATTGATGGTAGCAGTTCCTTTGGTACTTCAGGCAGTCAGTCACCGACTTTTTTTTCTCCACCTATTAAAACAAGTATTGATTAAATTGTGCAAAATTCTTGCCTTTGTTTAATATGATAAAATTTTTTTGTATGATATTTGCCTATGAATTTTATATAAAGGCACTGATTATAAGAGTAATATATATTTTTATTTCAGATGGATATTTAAAATGTTCCTATCAAGCCAAAACAACTTTCCAGTGTAATCTATTTATCTATTATTGCTTTTTCTTCACATATAATATATATATATATGTATGATTCAGAAAATTTCTGCAGAATTTAATTAATATAATGAAATTAATGAAAAAGTAAATAATTGTTAAGTTAACCATCCTAAGACTGGCATATCGATTTCTCGAATAGATCATGAGATAGGTATTTGCCGGTGATATGTGTGGAATAAAAAAATTTCTCATAAATTTTTTTTATAAAAATTAAAATAATTATAAAAGTTTTTTTATAAAATTTTGCTGTGGAATTTTGTTAAAATTTATGAGAAAAATTAAAAATTAAATACAAAGATTTTATTTCAGCTCCTATTCCATCTTCTGGAACATTAATGGTGGCAGAAGCATTGAATACTCAATCACCACAACGTTCTCAAAACGTGTGTTTTAATGACTGATTAATAATTGAATATAGTTATTCGTAATGAAAACACCTAATGATATTTTATAAAATATTCTTTACGCACTTTTTTTCAAAAGTGATTTGAAAATTCTTATTAAGGCATCGTGCTTTATGCCTTTTCGATTTTTCTTTCGAAAAGAGCCTTTTTTGCGTAAAATATTTCATTGCGAGTTATATAACATGTATTTTGATATAATTCTGAGAAAATGGTATTCAGCTATTTGGTACCATTAACTTATTATTACTTCATTTACAATATTTTAATCATTTTAGACGTTTTCATCACCTATGCAGAATTCAGTATTTAATCATATATCACAAAGAAATTTTTGCCATAATTCAACGGGTAAATTTCAACAAAACTCGTCGAATAAGACACATTATGCTAATAGAGCTAATCTGCAACGTCTTCTGGATTTGTACTATATATCGCTATGCCAGCCAGCTTTTCCTGAAAAAGGTCATTTTCCCAAATGCCAGACTTATATATATTTCGTATTATTTCTATATATTTGTGTATATGAATATAGATTATTAAATAATTCAGTAAATAATTTATACAATCTATTCGTGTAAAGTATCAATTAAATAAAAAAATTTTGTCACTTTTTATGAAGTTGGTTCTAAGGATTGTATTGTAGAATTATAGGAATTATTAAATCTATTAAAAAATTATTTTTAAATCTTAAAAAAAATTAATTTGAAATTTTTTAGATGTAGCCTTTTTTTTCAGGTGAGAATAACAATATGGGATCGCCACAATATTATTTAGATCAATATCACCAATTAAATCATCAACTCACAGCTAGCCATAATTATGGGTCACAGGGCTTAACTTGATTTCTAATTTCATTTTTCAGTATTTTTTTGTTTCTTCCATTCATACTCTCAGTTTGCTAACTCATTTTGTCATAGTTATATTTTTTATTTTTTATATTTTTTACTAATTTTTTAAAATAAAATTTAACATTTTTTAATTGTTTTTTAATTTTTTCTCGTAGACTTATTAATATTTCTTCTCTGCTATAATCTACGACTATTATAGGAGTTATGCAGCTTATAAGCAGTCCATAGTATCAACCTAAAATCTCCGATTTCTTTTGTTCTAATGTTTGAATCCAGTTTTTGTTTATGAGTTCCTTTTTCAGATCTGTGTCATGATGTCGGTGAGATGGTCCAGATCATAATTCTGAGATTTGAGATAAAAACTGTTGTCTTGTTTGCACAAGTCTTTTTAGTAAATTTACTAACCGACGCTAACTCCAGACCATATCATACCATAATTTCTTCATAATACTTAAATTCACTTAGAATTTCTCTTCTAAATATATAATTTAATGTAACTTTTTTTTTTAAATATTTATTTCTATATTATCAAAAATAAAGTTTAAGGGATTTTAAAATTTTGTGAAAAAAACTGCAAAGATTTTTATATTTAACTTAATTAAAAAATCCAATTTGAATGGTCTCCAATTTTTATTGGTTTAAAATTTTTTCGTTTTGTTTTACTATAAATATTTCAGATGAAATTGTTCTATGCAATGATTATTTTAATATTTATATTATATGCGCTCAATATTTGTAATGCAGTTTTTTTCTTTTGATTTCCATGGTGCTAAATTCATTAGGTGCATTCATTGGTTTATGTGTCATTTTCATCAGATGCATCCAAGCAGTTTTTTTATGAGAAAAGCGATTTTGGATTTCGAATTCGGATTCTATTATCGTTCATTTTTTGGTTGGATGCTTCTGTTTAGGGAAAAAAATAAATGATTTAACATTTTAATAGCAGTGATAAATTTAAAAAAAAAAATGTATGGTTTATCATTATCATAACTGATATATTTGCGTATAAAACTCAGGAATAACGCATATATTATGGAAGTTTTTCACTGCATAATTTCTTGCCATTTTTATTTTTGATTATATAATATATATTTAAATATATATTTAAATATATTTTCTCATTTTAGTATGAGGTTTTTTCCGTAATTTTTTTTGTGGTCCTCGTGGTGCATTCTAAATCGTGCTTATTTACATTAATTGTGCTTTACTCGATGAAATTTTTATTCTCATTTTTGGTACTTTCATGAATTTTTATAATAAAAAGTAAATTTTTTTCGTGCTCTTAGGTTTGATTTAGGAATATATGGCTTAAGGGCATCCAAAAGTATAGGGAAATTTTTCTCGGTTCTTAAATTATGTGGGAGATAAATAAAGTATTTAAATGGACAAGTGATATGTGTAACTCTATCTTCTAAAACCCATAGTGATTAGGCTGATTTCGCTGGCAATAGGGATTTCCTACAGAGTAATAGCAAGCATTCATTTTTTTCATTTTTATTTACGTGGTGGATGTATAAAAAATATACTTCAGGCTGGAATTATAGCTAAAGTTAAATAGATTCTTGGGATCTTCTATTTTCGCAAGCACAAGCACGGAACGGAATTGATCGCTAGACTGTTGGTTCGATATAGGAACGGATCTAAGGTATTCGAAAATTGACATCAACTGGTAGCGTTCTTGTGAATATGGGTACTTCACCAGCTTCTGGTGTGGTAGAGGAGGGAAAAAGTTATTGTATCTTATTTATATCATTCCTTAACCAGACCTAGGCTGTATCTAGTTGTCGATTCATCAAGAGCTAGCACTTGTTCGGTTCTCTTCGAGAATCTATTCTTGAATGGTAAATACAATGTTCATAATTCATTCTAGGTAATATTCTAGAGGATATATATTCTGGCCTGGCAGTTCGGAAAGGTTGTAGCAGTTTCTCATCTTTATACATTTGCAGCGTTAGCAAAATGTAAGGATGATATTCCATCCCTCTCATTGGACGAGCACCTTAATTTGTCTTGGTCATTTTGCTATCTCCTAGTGCCATTAGTTTGGATTATAGATGGCAGATGGCACATCATGGTAAATTTTTTCTAATAAAAAAGGCTATCATGAGGGCTTTAAAAGAGGCTCTAGGCTTATCACCATTATCACCTTTTCGATTAGTCATATGTCGTGCTATTATTGTTTCACGCTTTCGAAGCGATTGATAATAGAATCGATAGAATTTTCTGGCATGCGGATTCTAGGTTTCCTGCTTGTATTTCTTTCGAGATCTAATGGTATTCTAATGTGGATTGGTGAAATTTTAGAGAGAGACTTTTAATTAGGGTTTACTGAACGCCACAGGGCCACTTGTCTGCCATGAACATGGTCTATTAAATTAAGCTATTAAGCTAAATTATAAAATTTTATATAAATCAATAATTATAAATCAATTTAAATTTTATGATCAAATAAATATTTGGCAATCAATAAGAACAGCATTAATTGCATAATAATATTAATACAATGATAACAGGAATAATCAAGCAAAGAAATTAAAATGGAACTAATTTCGTCATGTTAAACGTCATCGAGGATCACTGAATTTGTACTCAGTAATTCCATGAATTAAATATTAATGGCGCATGGACTACGCCAGAAGGTATAATTTAAAAACATTCGTATGAAAAAATTATGCGATGAAAAGTCATAAATTGATTTCTCTAAATATTATTTGTTCAGATTTAACAAGATCATAATATCGTGTAAATCGGAGATCGAGAAAATCTTTTTTTCCACGGACTCCTCCAGATGGTGCAGTTAAAGCTCATAGGTCCCCAGTGCAATTTTTACAATTGTTTAAATTTTAAATATTTAAATTAAATTTTGAAATATTTATGAAATTTTTCCATGTAAAATTTTGAATGATTATAATAAACTGTATAAACTAGAAATAATCATTCAAGATGATCTATTATCACCTAAATGGGGATAGAATGGCTCAGTGTTGAATTTTCTGTGATATTCGAATGGCAGTAAAAAACATGCCGATAATTTATCCATGAATAAATATGCTAAAACAAGGAGATTTTTCCAAGCAAGTAGAAAAGCAAGTAAAATAACACAATAATATTATTTTAATAATGATATTATATAATATTGCAATAAAATAATAATAATATTGATAATAATAATATTAATAATAATAATAAGCTCAGAAGTCTTTAAAATTATGAAAAAATCCATTCCATGGGAAGTTTTATAAGTTGTCACTTTGAAGATTATAGATATTTCTTAATTTGTAAGTACAATTTTATTTTTAGCATATTTTCGACGTAACGAATCAGCCAGATCCATTAATCAGTCCTTAATGGCGGATTTCTTATTGGCAAGCATCTTAGAAAATTCGCTAATTGATTTCTGACTGATGTATTATTTGAGACTACTTTTTCCTTTTTTGTTTTTTTTGCAAAAATTTTTGGAAAATTGTTCCTATTGCCCAACTCACCTGTATTTCTATCGCCAAGGAACTCCCTGGCATATTGCCCAATGCGACAAGCCAGTGGAGCGAGTTTAACCAGTTTAACCAGTTTAACCAGTAATGGTGAGAACTTTTTAAAAAAAAAATATTACCTAAATAAATTGCAAATATGTAATTCGAATAAATTTTCCACGCACTTTCTAAGATATATCCATGAGATCCGTAGGGGCAAATTTGGTGTGCATAAATATAGATCAACGTTTAATCAGTCAGTTAAGCTGACTGAAACCACAAGTAAGCAGGAATTAATCAGAATTTTTTGATTAATTTTCTCTGCATCTTTTAATTTATAATACCGTCGTTTTGTTGCACAATTTAGAGTCCAAATTAAGACGACTGACTTAAGAATCGTTTTTTTTGCGTATTCATTCACTTAGCCTAATCAACTTATTAAATCTTCGTGATAAACATATAAAATTAATAATTATTAATAATTATTATTAATAACAATAATTAACTATAATAATTAATTACTAATACTAATAATAATAAATAATAGTAAATAATAATAATAAATAATAGCTTTGTAAAGTTGTTAAAAAAGTTGCTAAGTTATTAAAATTGTTCTCCAAGGAACATTGAAAATTGCAATGTTAATTTTAAGGGCTGTGGAAATGACTATTTTTTCAAAATTTGATGATCTGGCGAAATTTTTTTGGCTGGAAAAATTCCAATTTTTAGGAATCGTTATTTATTTATTTATTTAATAAAAATGAAAAAAAAAGTTCCATTTTTAATTATCGTATATAACAGCGAAATTAAAGAAATTCACCTTAAACGTGGTGAATTTTTTCTTCGTAATTGATAGAAGCTAAAACGCATTTTTCTTCTTTCTCATCAAAATTATTAACATCAAATTTACACCATAAATCGCATATTTCGCGAAATTGTCCCCGAAAAAGTGGAAAGCGAAAAATGATAACGAATTTCATATTTACTCCACAAGGTTTATTGGCATTCGTGCAGAAGTCATTCACTCTTGCATTAGGTTTGCAATATCCCCTTTCGCATAAGCCAACCGCCTAAAATTCATCGATTTTGCAGTTTTTTTAGATTTCTTTCATAAATTTGAGGTCTCTTCGAAAGGCTTTCAGGTGACAAAAATGGAAATCTATTCTCTAATAAGATATAAGATGGAAACAGGAAATTCGAGCAAAAGTTACTTTATGGTTTCGTAAGTAAGTGAAGTATAATTATAATTAGTTGTTAGGGCTGGATAAAGAAACAAAGTGGCTTAAACTCCGTACTTTTAATGGACTCATTAAGGAATAGACAGGTGAATCGATAAGATATGATAATTTACACTGATAAGGCGATTATTAAGTTCTATAAATTGTTCTAAGGCCCTTCTATGAATATGAATATTAATATTGAATATGAATATTAATAGAGGTAATGGATTGAAGAAACAGAAGTCGAATTGTAAGAAGAGAGTGAAACTCTCATAATTCTTTCTCATAATTCTAAATCTTTCTTTTGTAATATTCAAATTGCAAAATTTACTAGGCTTTCCTCTGATTGATTTTCCACTGTAGTCAGACTTGTTGGAACTGTATGTTTCTCGACTTTAACAAATTCATCGTCTTTTCTAACATAGTTTTCACTTTCGCATTGGCATCTCAGCCAACAAATTTCATCGTCTGAGTAAAAGCTTTCTGATAAGGCATTTGGCTGAATTTCTTTGAATACCATATGAATTCCACATTTATGTCCTCGCATCATTAAACATACAAATTTCTCGTAAAACTTGGTGCCACTGCTAGTCGAATTGAGAGTTTGGCTCGAATTTGTTGCCTGTATTTGAATAATAATAATTTAAATATGATTTAAATATAATTTAAATATGATTTAAACAAATATTGAAAAAATCCCTTAATTTTCATGAGTATTTATTGACTATTCTAAATATTATAAATCTTAGCAATAATCATTTCATTCCACTTTCGAATCACTACGCCTCAGATGAAAATCCATGCAAATTGATGAATCCAATTTTTCATTAAGTAAGTCCATCCATTACTGCTTATTTAAATTGCTTCTGTTTTGCCACGAGGGTCGTCTATACATTCTCCACTTATCATTTATCATTGATAAGCATCTTTGATCATACATTGATAAAAAGAAATTGCGTATTCAATAAGGAGTGTTTTTGAAATAGTTTTGAACATCATATTAGTCCCACTTTTTTTATTGGTCTTTTTCATAATCATAATCGAAAATTTCATCGCCAATCGAATGAGGGCGAATCTTAGATAAAGGCGAAGGTGAACAATTAATTAACTGTAAAATTAACTGTTTAACTGTAAAATACAAGCAAATAACTCACCAAATTTTTTTCTAATCCAATGGTCGTCGGATTATTTGTTTGTTGTTGCTGAATTTCAACACATTTTTCACCTTTTCTAATATAATTTGCATTTTCGCATTGACATCGCAGCCAACAAATTTCGCTGTTCGAAGCCAAACTCTCAGACAGTGAATTCGGTTGAATTTCTTTGAATATCATATTTGTACCACATCGTTGGCCAAGGAGTTTCGTGCAGAAAAAAGATTGGTCGTTCGGAAGATTTTCATTTAGAATACCGTCGATTTGTGTAGAATTTTGGTGAATAGTAGTTGAGTTATAATTATTAGTGCTTGAATTATTCATCTGTAAAAATAATTAGAACAGTTTTGTAATTTTTGAAAATAGTTCATAAAACATAGCAAAATTCTACTTTATTTATTCTTTAAGAGGATTTTCCATGATAAATAAATAAAAAATGAATAAATCAATGCTAAAATAGGAAAATATTCGCACAGATTTTTCCAAGTTTTTCCTAAAATCGCTGTCGCGAAACGGCGAAAAAAAAAGACTACTTTGAGATTGGCCAACTTCCACTACTTCTTTTGGCTCCTCCTGTAGGGCTTTTAGGGATCTGTTTTTGTCCAGTTTTCCTCTTTATTTTCTTTATGGGTACCATCACCTTCTTTAATATTTGAATCGTTTTTTTATTGATTCGCTATTTTGACATGCCACCAACCTACGACACACCAGTCTGAGCTCACGAAAACTGCCTTGTCAACCTCCTTTTCATTGATCTTCGTCGATAATTAATTTGTTGCAAAGGCAAACTCACTGCCGGTTCAAATCCATATTCCATTTTTGCAATCCCATGCAGCCTTTCGCCTTCGCCATTCCACAACAATTCTTTTCTTCTCCCTTCCTCACTCCCATCTCCATCATCCCTTCCACTCTCTCGAATATTTATCGTTTCACTATCAATTGCGAGTCTTTTCTAAAATCAGTTTTTGTTAGTTGAGCTTAATTTATTATTTCCACTTATTGGTTAGTTATTAATTAGTTATTTGATAGATTTGATTTAAATTCGTCATAAGTAACCACTGCATGAAATTTTTATATATTTCAGTGCATTTATTATTATTATTATTAATATTACTATTATTATTATTATTATTATTATTATTATTATTAATATTGCATTTATTATTATTATTATTAATATTGCTATTATCATTATTATTATTTACTATTATTAGCCAATTTACCTTTTGCGTTTCAGGAAATTCATTTCTGATACATTTTTCACCATACCTAATATATTTATTATTTATACAGACACATCGCTGCTTGCAATAATAGTATGGAAGTGAATATTCAAAAAGAAACGTTTTGAAAATGGGGATAAATATCATATTTCTACCGCATTCTTTATAAGTTCCATAGCAACCATAATCGAAGATTTCTTCACCATATGTGCAATTTCCATGTTGACAATCGCTCGCAAAACTTGTAAATTGCACAAAAATCTTTAATAATGAAAAATTCTTTATTATGTTTTGTTTTACTATAATTATTATTATATTTTTTATATATAATTATATATAATTATTATATATTATATATATTTATTATAATTCTATAATTATTTATGCATATATTATTTTATATTTAAAAAAGATACGAATATTTTATAAGATGAGACATTTCGAAAAATTTTTCATGCTTTTTCAAATATCACTAAATTTTTTCGTGGATTTATATCGAAATTCTTCAGTTTTTACTCAAAAAAGGGTTCTTTAAAAAATACGAAAAAGCGATTGGCCACCGGGCATATCAGTGGATAAATGGCGAAAAAAGAATTATATAATCAATATTTGATAAAATATTTAATAAAATCAAATACTTAATAAAATTAAAAAATTCACTAACTATAGAAAGGAAAGTAATAATAGCGCACAGCAACATTTCTATGAGAATATTAACAGCAATTTATTGGAAACGGCTATTTAAAGAAATTATAAAACCAGTTTTTGGATGTTATTCAGATGCATATTACGGTGGTTATGATATGATGCGTTATTCTGTATAGTCAAATTGAAAACGTAAAGTTTGCAACGGGGATTCCCAAAATGCTTCGTTGGGGAGAGCTGCTGGGGAACGATGGGTAAGTAAAATGCTCATTGCAATTTTTAAAATATCAAATTGCACTTGTGAAAGAAATACCTGCGCAACTGCTATTGCATCGAAACTTTTTACTGTGTCCCTTTTGAAATGATTTATATTTTCTATATTCGTTTTTTTATATTATATATTTTTGCAAAAATATTGTTAGAAAAATGCTTTAACAACTGTTATTGTGCCAAGTGAATTTTTTAAGACAAAACCAGATCAGCTTCAACCAAATGTGAATCTAAAGATCTTTTCCGATTTATAGAGAATTCGGGACAAACATTTTTAGGGAAAGAGAAAATTTTTAGGAAAAATTTCTATCATTGGGAAAGAACATTCCTTTTGTAAAAGGCCAATGCAGATTTGGAAAAATTTTCATAAACTTAGTTTCTGATATTTGTTTTTGAAGTGTTTTTACATTTATTACTTTATTTTAATGATATGACAAGTAGATATGACAAATGACAGATTAGCTTATCAGATTATCTAATCAACTTCTTGATTTTTTAAATAAATTATGCAATCAGAGAAATATCACATCAGTAAGTTCCCAGGAGGAGAATTTTAAAAGCGATTAGCATTTCAACGATAAATCCTACAAGCGCTTTGATTTTAAAACAGTTCTATAGTAACCCGAAAATTTTAATTGAGAATCCTATTGTTAGAAAATACGATTATTCAGTGAAAATATTATGTTTGCGAATAATTTATAATCTTTATTTTATATCAAACTAAATTTTTTTGCAGTCGAAAATTTTTTCCATTATAAATATTCTTAGAAGAGAGCATAACCAACTATTAGTTTTACTAGATTTTTATCATTTTCCTGTCGTAACACATCACCTATCTTTTGCAAATCTTCCATAATCAAGGTAGTACCATGTGGTAGGCAGTGGAAAAAAATATGGTGGAGCTAAAAAAATTTTTAACCTCGTCAGACCTTTTTTTTAAAAATTTTCAAGATTTTCCTAGGTTGAAGCAAAGTGATATTGCATATTTTGAAGTGTAATTAATCTTTTAAATCTTTTAATTAATTAATCTAATACTGCTTTTGAGCATACTTGATCGCTGGCCGATGGTAGACATGAATTAAAGCTTCTAAGTGACTCGATCGTTGCAACTCAATAGGATTAACCGTTTTCATCAAAAATAGGATTTTAGCAGCTGAGGAAGCACATTAGAACATACTAAAAGCGCTAATTCTGAGCGAATAATTCCATTGTACACCAATAGATATTTTCGAAAAAACTATTTCAGTGTTGAGATATCTTTTTATCTTTTATCATTTCCAAAATAAAATCTAATAAAATTTCATTTGAATATTAACTTTTTATTAAGAAAAATAAAAAATATTTGATCAAATATCGTATGGATTAACGAAGATAAAATCAACTGCATTCGTAACACAAATGCCGGATTTGTCATTCGCAAAATTAATTTTTTTAATAAACATACATACATTGTAATAAAAATAATTTCTCTAAAAATATGAAAAAGAAGGATTAAAGGAGGAAAAAATAAAACATTTCTTTTACATATTTTATATTTCCATGCTCACCGTGCTGGTGCAGTGATCGGTGCATTAGTTTTTGAATGGTATAAAAGATAAAATTATCATTAAAATAAAATTCTAATCATTATCAATTTAAAACGTCAAAAGAAATAAAAAAAATCGGAGCAACACATTTCAAGCGCAAATCGGTTGTAGTAGTTGAACAAATAATTTTATTGGCGAACATAAATAAATTTCACCACAATGAAAAAACATCGTCTAAAAAAGGAAACACAAAACTATATAGGCGCAGCAGCGCTAATATTTCATTCCAAAATTCTTTTTCCTGAAATTCGCTGTTTTACTTTTGCTTCTTCGTTTTCCTCATTCATCACGCGAAAAGTGGCCAGGATAAGGCAATAGAAGATTGCAATAAAGCGGTTGGAGTTAATCAACGACCAACTGTCGAGCCAAGCCTTTGTACACACATCGATTTACCTGCCTGTACTACTATATTTCCATACCATGATGCACCAGGAACGATTCCAACTCACAGAAATTTGCTTTTTTTGTACATATTATTTCAATCTAGTAAAGTGTATTTTTTAACACTTTAGGTAGAAAAATAAATTTCAAAAAACATGCGGATTAAAAACTTGTCTATGTAAGTTTATACTCGCAAATTGGTACTAACTGACCAGTAGATCAAGGTTAGCTACGAAAAAATAGAAAGTACTGAACGGTTTTCATACGTAATTTATTATCTCGACTACTCGTAAATATAATATAGTAATAAATTATCGCTGACGATTTAGACTTTTCAGAAAACCAAAATGCACCAGCAGCACAATCAAATTGTCGCGACGACGACCAGCAATGTTCAGAAAATAGAAAATACTGCACAATAGAACCTTATGCAACTGTAATGAGAAGTAAATGCCGCTTAACTTGTGGCCATTGTCGGCCATAAAAAAGCTTTCAAATGGTTGTCTCGTCAGACTTCGATTTTGTTGAAATTGGGAAAAATTTTCAACATTGTATTGGTATTATATTAATTAAAGGCTTGAATAAAATTTCGTTTTGCAATATGGCGTTAGTTGCATGATTATTGGGAATCGATTAACTCCCCAGATTTTCGTTTTTTTTTGAAATGAGCCATATCCAAGAGCCACAAAATAGAGTTTTTAAGGTTACTTCAAATCATTCATAATTAGAAGTGTACTTTTTTTCTATTAGAAGTGGATTTAAATTCTGTGGACCTCAACCTATCGATGTTAAATATGAATAATAAATCAAGTAAATCGATGGTTGTAAAGATGGTAAAGTAACTAATAGTAGTAGTAATAATAATAAATTAGTGGTAAAAGAGCCATGAAAACAAAATAATATATTGAAAGAAATTAAGCGCGTATATATATATATATATATAAGACTTTTGTAAATGAACTGATGTAAATTTAAATTTAAATTAAATTATAAATTTACAAATTTAAATTTTAAATTTTTACAAATTTTTCTAAAAAAAAAAGTATAGATTGGGTTTAAATTACGTCGAAAGGCAATTTATTTCAGCAATTTTTAGAGGGATTCCGAACCTTTGATTTAATTCCACGAATAGTTTTATATTCAAAATGTGAAATTCAATTTTTTCTAAAAATTAGTTGCGTAAGAACGAATAACTCAAAAATTTCATTACAATATGATTAAAAACAAATAATTAAAACTGAAAATTATTAATTTTAGTGCATTGCTTTGAGTTATATTGAAATTTAAGCTAAAATTACAAAATTATGGCGGTAATCATAAATTAAAAATCTGAAATTTTCTTTTCTTATAAGTCCTCGACGATTCTGTGGACCTCAACCATTCGATATTAAATATGAATAATAAATTAGATAAATAGATGATTATAGATGATTTAATTAGAATTAAAAATCAACGGCCAACTTCCATTTCTCATCTCGAAGCGTTCCATTGTATCAGTCATTCTCAGGTAAGTTATTAGAATTAACATTAAATGCCGAAGGAAATGATATAAATAGCAAAAATGGCGAAAGATGGCGAGGAGATAGCAGAAATAGCGAAAAATAGCGAGAATTGCGGAAAATAGAAAAACAGATATTATTGGTGTTTCTTCATTTTTCTTTAATTCTTGCCTTGAAATCGTAAGAATTTTCAAATATTTCCATTTTCCAAATTTTCTAATTTTTATCAAATTTAGTAAATTTAGTTTTCCATATGAAATTTTTGGATTAAAAGATGTAGTGATATAATGTGAAAAAACTAATAAAAATTTCAATAATCCATTTTGTTCAACCGACTTTTGTGCTAATCAATCTTTCTTCAGGCTTCATTAAAGATGTTTTTCTCATTTAAATTGTATTTCCAGAAAAGATCGATTTCGATTCATTCAAACAATAAATATATTTTTAATTAATCAATTTTTGAAATATTTCCGAATTTAATACGAATTTAATTTCAAGAAAATGTTTAAAACATTTTTTATAATTGATTTCGGCCACAGGTGAATCGATATTTCATCAAACATGCGTGAATATCAATTCTGCATGATTGCCGGTAATTTTTTATCACTTTTGGTCGTCGTCTCCATAATCTGATATTGCATTTTGATTTTCTGAAACACGCAAATCGATAGAATATTTGCTAAAATAGTGCATTGTTCAACAAGGATGAATGAAAATTTTCTTTCATTTTATTGACTTTTTTGCTCAATGAATGAGATGATAATTATCTATTTATTGGTGGATTGACGATGGGAATTATAAGGTGTCAACTAATTGGTTATTTAAGAGCGATTTTATAATTTTATTATTTATCGTATATTCAGTAAAAATTATAAGCAGTTAATTTTTTACTTCTTCTTACTGAACAAGGGTTACCGGTGCGAGTAATTACAATTGCCTTTGGAAATGGTGCTGGCGACTATATTTCTATCGCCATGAGACTCTCTGGCATATTTTGTCCAGTATGACAAGCCATCGGAGTAAGTCTAATCAGTAATGGTGAGAGCTTTGAAAAAAAAAGATTGCTTTTAGAGATAATCCTAACGGTGTAGGTAATTTATCAATGATGTCTTTTCTGCCATATTGGCCTTTCATTATTCATTTAATCAAAAATCTTAAATCACCCGCTTAATAATTTATAATAATTTCTTTTTAATATGTTTAAGATATTTTCCTCTTTCATTCACCATAAACTGCCAAGAAATATAGCTCGCCCAAAGATTTATAAGTCAAGTAAATAAAGAAGCAATTAGTTCAGTCTTTTTTCGTTCTGTTCAAATCCACATCTTGTTAATAGTTATATGCTAAACCGCTTGAAAACGTCTTGTGGCCAGTGTAACCGGCCTAACCAGTAATGGTGAGAGCTATTAGAAGAAGCTCCGCAATATTAATGGACTCATTAAAAAGCAATGGAAGTGAATAAAAATATATGATAGGTTTTGTTGGATTCTATTCATATAAATTATTTTAAGCTCTATGAATCCTCTTTAAATATGAATATTCATTAATAGACGGAATACTGAAGATACGGATGGCGAATTATAATGCTACGCTTAGTCCGAAGCTTGGCCAAGAATTTGGCTAGAGCCAAGGCATAATCTTGCGCTTAGAGCAGAATCATCGAAACAAAGGACGATGGTCTGAGAGAAGTATAAGTTTAGGCAAAGTTTTTCATAAAATAAATATGAAATACGATTGATATATCAATAAATTATAAAAATTGAATTATATAAATGAATAGCAAAATGAAAATTTTATAATTATTTTTTTTACCGTACTTATTACCGGAACAAATGCTTTTTGGCATTGTTTGTGTAATGTAGTCAATACATTATATAGTTTTACCATATAATATAGTATAATTTAGTTTTAAAAATTGGATAGAATTTCCATAGTATTTGGTATAGCATTAATCAATTTTTAATTTAATAGTTTTTCTTTTTCATTTTATAATTTTATTAATAATAAATTGTACTTATAATTTGTACTAAATGCCTGGCTTTTGCTTTATTTATCTTCTAAATAAATGATCAAAAATTTACCGGACTTTCTGCTGGTTGAAAGTCCATCGTAGACAATCTTGTTGAATCTGTATATTCATCGATTTTAAAAAATTCATCGTCTTCTCTAATATATTTGCACCTCAACCAACAAATTCCATCGTCAGAAGAAATGCTTTCAGATGAATCACTTGGCTGTATTTCGTTGAATATCATATGGATTCCACATTTATGTCCTTTCATCGTCAAACACACGAATTTCTCGGAATTGGTACTATTAGCAATCTCGCTTGTAGAATTAAAGTTATATGTCACCGAACTGGGATTGTGGCTCGAAATAGTCGTCTGCATTTGAAAAACAATGGCCAAAATATGATTAGAATATGATGAAATATGATTTAACAACGACCAGATATTCCATCACCAAGACATTCCCTGGCATATTTGCCCAATGCGACAAGCCAGTAGAGCGAGTTTAACCAGTAACGGTGGGTCTCTTTAAAAAAAAAGTTGAACTCAAACTAGTCAACTAGAAGGTGAAATTATTATTTGGTTCTAGTTTACCATTATTTCCCAATATTCCCTTCGAATAAGGCTGGATTAATGTAATCATTATTGTAAGCAAATAAGAGCAACACACCGAGTTTTTCGCTAGTCCAAGAGTCGTCGGATTATTTGTTTGTTGTTGCTGAATTTCAACACATTTTTCACCTTTTCTAATATAATTTGCATTTTCGCATTGACATCGCAGCCAACAAATTTCGCTGTTCGAAGCTAAACTCTCAGACAGTGAATTCGGTTGAATTTCTTTGAATATCATATTTGTACCACATCGTTGGCCAAGGAGTTTCGTGCAGAAAAAAGATTGGTCGTTCGGAAGATTTTCATTTAGAATACCGTCGATTTGTGTAGAATTTTGGTGAATAGTAGTTGAATTTGAATAGTAGTCATTCGAATCAAATTTCTATGTTTAAAGTCGATTAGAATAATTTTTCAATTTTTAATATTAATTATCAAATCTTTTCTAAAACATTTATGAAAAAATTTTATAAAATTCTTCACTATTCTTTGAGGTTTCTATTTAAAAAAATGAATAAATCAGTCAAATTAAGATATTTGCGCAGATTTTTTCAAATCTTTTCAATACTGCCAACCCCTTCCAATCCCACAATCCTCCCCAATCCCCCTCCAATTCCCCTCCAATCCCCTTCCAATCCCTCCTCTCCATCTCCCTACTCTTCTCACTTTCACTTTCCTATGTGTTTAACGTCGCAATATCAATTATGAAGTTTTTTAGAATGAGCTTTTTGTTGGTTGAAAATTAATTTCCATTCATTTATTTGATTTATTATTTGTTTTAATTTAATTTTGCTACAATTAAAATTAAAATTAATTTTTATATAATCGTTGATTAAATAATTTACTTCGGTTATAGTTTGGTGATAAAGAAATTCTTTTTTGATACAATATTTGCCATTTTCAATATAATTATTATTTGCACATATACATCGCTGAATGCATCGAAAGACTGGATATGAATACGGAAAAACAAGCTTTTCCGAAACGGTTTTAAATATCATATTTATACCGCATTTTTGATTAGTTTCACGGCAACCATAATCAACAATTTCCTTGCCGTATGTATAGTTTCTATGTGAATAATCACTCTCACCACTAGTAGGTTGAAGAAAAGTCTATAATAAAGAAAATTCCTTCGGTGCTTTCTATATTTGGTTTTCGGTGAATTTATATATGATGCATTAATTAGTTAATTTACCTCGGTTATTTTCTTTACTTCTGGGTGCTTAAGAAATGTCTTTTTGACACATTTCGTACCATTTCCACTATATTTACTGTTTACACATACACATTGTTGTATGCATTTGTTGATCGGATATGAATATTCAACATGAAGCGTTTTCGAAACGGTTTTAAATATCATATTTATACCGCATTTTTGATTAGTTTGATGGCAACCATAATCAACAATTTCCTCGCCATATGTATAGTTTTCTTGTGGATAATCAATCGCCCCTCTAGTAGATCGAAGAAATACCTTAAATACCGAAAATTCTTCACATGTTTCTTTGTACATTGAGTTATTTATTTTGGCAATGTTTTGCAATTGAAACTAAAAAATAGCTTGGAATGGTGCTATTCGATTTTTCTTATATCCATTGCTTTCAACCAGCATTAGAAATATCGCCAAAATTTTTCAAGGATTTACCTCGACCTTTCAAAATTCCTTAGGTTCCTCTCAAAAAAAGATCTATTTAAGCAGATTAATCGAGAGATGCAAGAAAAAACAATTAAGAATTTAATAATAATAAAAAAAAAATTCACTAACTGAAACGAAGAAAATAACAACAGAAGCCAACATTTCTATTATAGAAAATGCTACAGAAATCCATAAGCAACGACTATTTAAAGCAATTGCAAAACCGGTTTTTGGATGTCATTTATAATCGCACTACGCTGATTATTATTATCTGATAGTATCATTCTTTTTTGTGCAATGAATATGAAATTACTTCAGAAATTGCAAAAGGGATTTATGGAGCTGCCGGGAGCCAACGAACGATACTTATAAATATTTTTTTTAAAAAAATTAAATTTTCTAATAATATTTATAAAAAAGTAGTACCCACTCATGTGTGCTTCTGCACTAAGCCTTACTGCTTTATTACATAATTATACTATAATTATACTATAATTTTATATTTTCACTATAATTTTTTATAATATTTTATATTTTTATTTAAAAAATATTTTTATAGCCAATAAGATGCCAAATAAAACGTTTATGGATAAAATAAGATTATTTAAACGAAATGAGAAAATTCCAAAAAATTTCTCTGACATACATAAAATACTAAGTAAAAATTCCATAAATTTTTAATAATTCGCGAAATTTGTTTATTTGCTTATATTTTTTGGATGAAATTCGCTAGAAATAACGTGCAAAACTTGAATTATTTGAAGTTTCTTAGCGATTCAACTGGAAAGATTGGTTCTTTTGTTGGGATTTATGGAAGAAATTTTCAAAAATTTTTTTTAAGCTTAATTTTTACACTTTTTACACTTTTTTTGAAGATACCATTTTGTTTGCATTTTAGTAGCAAATTGACTTATTTTGATTTTTAAAATGAATTTTACGATCTGCGGAGAGTAATTTGCGTCAATGACTTTACAGGAAGAGAGTTATGAAAGAGATTAACAACAAGCTCATTCAATAAAAACTCTACTAGCGTTTTGATTTTCAAGCGTTGAGACCGAAAATTATATGTCGCGAATATATAATTTATAATCACAATTTTTATACCAAAATTAAATTTTTTTGCATTTGAAAATTTTTCTCATATCAAATATTTCATGGATTCGATTAGAAAGATTAGTTCTTTTACGCTTTTTTTTAGGAGAGTATGGAATACATTTTTTATCAGTTTATCACTTATCGTTGCATGGCACATTATTTGCACTACTTTTTTATTCGTTAAGGATTTTTACCGCTACTTAAAAGGTATAAAAAAGTTAAATTTTAACGAAGTGCCATGAAAAGATTAATAAAAAAGGCGAATAACAAATCCATTTCGTTATTAAAATCAATAATATAAAGATTTAAAATTTCATAAATAGAGTTATAAATAAAAAATCCATTTAAAAAAATATTGTTTTGCTAAAATTAAACTTTTTCTTCACTTATTAAGGCAAATTAAGGAAAATCAAAAATGAAATCATTCTAGTAAATCAGTAAATTCATGAATATAACTATGAATATGAATATAACTAACTGATATTATTTTTAATTGGATTTATCTTATCATTTATCATTTATATATAAATTTAAATAAAAATTTGTCGAGATCTACGCGGAATTTTAAAATTTAATCGAATAAAGTTTGAAGAAACTTTTGAAAAAAAATACCACTCAGCTGTGATAAAGCATGTCGAGAAAAATGAAAAAAGATCCATGCTGAATACGAGCAGTATAGATGAGCGGATACATTGCCCCTCACCCCTCCCACGAAGAGAGTATCAATAAAAGGTTAAGTAAAATTGACAATAAATATTGCTCGAGATTTGTTTTAAAAAGCTCTGTGAGGTATTTTCCTTTAGTAATTTATAAGGTCAATTAAACTCCTAGAAAATGAAAAGAAACATAAAACCTCTTTCCTTACTAAAAGAAATAATAATTCCAGATAATTTTGAAGATTACAATTAAAATCAAAAATAATTTGACATTTGTTTTTCAAATTTAAATATGTATATTAAAAAATATACGCTTCGCGGATAAATTATCGTATCTTATTTTCTAAGTTGTCTTTACTATCTTCACTAATTGTTGCGATAAAGCGCAATCGTCATTTGTGAACTTCAGGTAGCCCCAGCACCACTCGATTTTTTTTTCTTTTCACTTTAGTGTAATCACATCATGGAGCAAAATCTGGGCCAGTGGTGCATGAACCCATTCAAAATATCTCTACAAAGTCTATTATGTTATCTGTTACGTGGTCTAGATAGTGTCTTTAACTATGCACGGCCTAAAGTGGTCCTATGATATGGATAACTCTGATAATATCTAATGGTCATTTGTCGACTGTTAACTGGAAGCATATTGTGATTAAACCTGTCATGATAGGCCATGAATTAAAGTATATCAAGCTCGATCATTACTCCTTGGTGGGTTTAATCGTCTAAATGGGCCTAAACACTGAAAGCAGATTTTAGCAATAAACTAAAACCGATATTTACATAATTTCACATAAAAGAGGGGAAATCAACTTCAATTTAATTTATATTGTTTTTTAAAAAAAAAGTTTGAAATAAAAGCCTAAAATGGAATAAAATGCAATAATCAATCCAAAAATCTATTGTAACACAACGTTAGGATCACTCTTATCAGCGTAGAAATTGCAGCAATAAACCGCTGCCTCGGCTCAAAAAGCAACAGAAAATTCGATCCCATTAATGGTAAATAAATAATGCTTAGTGTTCACCATTTTAAACGAGCTCTAAAGGTCTAATATGGTTCGAAATAATTGTTGCCAGAGGACCACTTTTACTATGGAAGTATAGCTTGGTTGTAACCAGCGAACTCTGCGGATGTTTTTCTTGTTTTATTTGGTGAATTTTTAAAAAATACATTGAATATTTTCATTTTCTGAACAAAAAAATTGATTCGCCTTTTTTGTTTTAAAATATTTCATTTCTGCAATTAAGCAACAAAATTTTATATTTATGTATATAAGTCAATTTATAATTTTTTCCAAAAATATTTGCCAAAAATATTCGACGATGTTAAATTATTGTTTTCACCTCAACAAATCCATTCTTACTATTTCAGTTTTTTAAATATTGCAAATTTTTATTTAAAATTCGTTATTTTCTTCCATAAGCGGGCTGATTCGAGAAAAAAATAAAACATTTGCAATTTCTTATGCATATTTTATATTTCCATGCTCACCGTGCTGGTGCAGTGATCGGTGCATTAGTTTTTGAATGGTATAAAAGATAAAAATTATCACTAAAATAAAATTCTAATCATTATCAATTTAAAACGTCAAAAGAAATAAAAAAAATCGGAGTAACACATTTCAAGCGCAAATCGGTTGTAGTAGTTGAACAAATAATTTTATTGGCGAACATAAATAAATTTCACCACAATGAAAAAACATCGTCCAAAAAAGGAAACACAAAAGTATATAGGCGCAGCAGCGCTAATATTTCATTCCAAAATTCTTTTTCCTGAAATTCGCTGTTTTACTTTTGCTTCTTCGTTTTCCTTATTCATCACGCGAAAAGTGGCCAGGATAAGGCATTAGAAGATTGCAATAAAGCGGTTGGAGTTAATCAACGACCAACTGTCGAGCCAAGCCTTTTTCTCATATATATTATTATTATTCCAATTTGTATTTTTTAATAGGCGAAAAATAATTTCTATAATAAATCTGAATAATTAATCTTAATAATATTTCCTAGTAATTTGGAGGCGCATCATACCTAATATGCAAAGCATGTACAAAAGTTCTCAAGGATTTTGCATAAACGAATTGTCTAAGTCGTTGCGCATTTTGTTGTAAGGCAAAACAATTTAACACATCCATCACGTAAATCACAAAGACCACGTTTCTGATGCTATTTTACTGAAAAAAGACGTTCTGCACATTTCTCGCATAAAATTTTCGCACTGTCCAACTGAAAAATTCACTATATACGTATATAAGACGTTTTTATTTTAATTAATTTAAATTTATACTAGTGTTACTATTTGATAACTACCACCGAAAATCGAGGCATGAGCGCTGGTGCTAAGGTTCTTGACGGGACCTATAAACCTGCAGAAAAATCCATGCTGCGATTTATCAGCACTTCTATCGCCAAGGGATTTTCTGGTATGTTTATATAGTCCGACAAATTAACGAAGCGAGTCTAATCAACAATGGAGAATGTTCTTTTAAAAAAAGTACCATCTCTGCGGTTAAATTTTCCTTTTTCCTTTTTGCAGCATTTCGCGCAGGTGCGAGGAAATTTATACTAATTGTTATTCGCCTCTTGACATCTTTTGGTTACTTTATATTCCTTTGCACTAAAATAGCATTTTCATGAGAGGATTAGAGCAATAATTTTTAATTCATTATTTCAATATTATTATGGGTTTTATTTTTTTCACGGATCATGAAGTGAAGTTTCCAGCTTCCAACGTAAATATAGCTGAACATGCTAGAAAGCTGCTGGATCGAGATCGACGCATAAATTTGGATCAACCATTACATTACTGCTTGTTGTTGTGGATTTGCTTGGTTGTGGAACTGCTTTGTTGCATATATTAATTGCATGAACCGCAGTACTTTGCAGGAAATAAAAAACATGAGAGGCAGATAAATAAAATACATGATAAGCAATAGTCGTACTCCGATAATCAATTAGCACTTTTATACTTTCTTTTATTTATTTTCACGTAAAATGTTCATTAAACATAATGATAAACAAATTTTCAATTATTGCTTAATTCTTTGATTTCTAAAAAATTTAAAAAAAAATTACTTTATTTTTTTGCTTATTTCATTTTTTATAATTTTTGTCATTTTTTATCATTTTCCAATTTCTTTAACAGTTAACTATAAAATTCAATTATAATTCAATTATAATTTTCAAAAATGTTTTGTAATTTTCATAAATTATACAATGCAAAAAACTCTTCTTCTTCTTCTAATAGCTCTCACCATTACTGGTTAGGCTGGCTGCGCTGGCCATAAGAGTAAGAGTAAGACGTCTCCAAGCTGCCTGGTCCGACGTGACCATAGCTAATAGTGATTATAAAAAACATTCCCGAATATCTCCGAAAAATTCACGCAAATTTTAAAAATTGGTTTCAATGGGCTTAAAATAGCAATCTATGCAGCGCGTTATTTAAAGAAAATGCCACACGAAATCGAGAAAAAAAATCGGCGAAAACCAGTCGAAATTCAAGTCAATAGAACACCAATAAATTTTGCAAGATGAAATCTGAAAAATACCTTTCCCGTACCAAAATATTTCGTAGAATGAAAAAGGTGATCAAACACTTCTATAACGTAAATATGCCTAATTTCAGATGGGTTTTTTTATTTCTAAAAGAAATTTAAACCTCATCGAATTGAAAAAATACTTGCCTTTTTATAATTTTATTTTCATTTTATATGGAAAACAATGATGAATAGAAATTTGAAAAAAAAAATTAATTTGATCATAAATAAGAGATAAAATATTCAAAATCAAAGAGATTATGAAAACTAAAATAATTTTTATAAAAACCCAAAAATTTCCCATCCAAAGAAAGCAATTTTGCTCAATTTATCTACATAAGTTGCACGTTCTTTTGCACTGGTCAACCATTACTGTTGAATACGGTGGAATATTGCAATACGATGCCAGTCTTGCACAGTCGGCTCGGCTGTCCGAACAAGCAGATGCAGCCGCTGTCGTCGCTAAATATTTTAATTTTATAAAACTGATAGAAATTGCTATGCAAGAAAGAAAATTTGAAAATTGAATAATAATAAAATTTATTCTAAAAAATAAATAAAAAG